GTGGCCGGGAGCGGCCACTGCACTCCAGTCTGGGCGACAGAGTGAGATCCAACACAAAAAAAAAAAAAGAAAGAAAGAAAGAAAGTATACAGTGCAGATTACAAATGAGAAGCTGGCTATGGTTAAAGCGGAACCAGATGTTAAGAAATTAGAAGACCAACGTCAGGGTGGCCAAATAGAAGAGGTGATTCTTCAGGCTGAAAATGAACTAAGTCTGGCGAGAAAAATGATGCAATGGAAACCTTGGGAGCCGTTAGTGGAAGAGCCTCCTGCCAATCAGTGGAAATGGCCAATATAATCATTAAATGACTTTGGTGGGTTGATGGGAAACTGATGTAATTAAACATTCTGTTATATTAAAAATGTGTCCATATTATTGACAACTTATAATTAAGAAAACTGAGAGAATATATTTAGGAAACTTATTAAAATTAGTGATTATGGTAATAGGGTCTTGTGAATAGGTTTTTGATTTGTAAAATGTTCACACAGATTACTTCAAAGATGTGGTTTCTTTGAGCAGAGAGGTTGTGGGAAGATTTGAAAATTAATTAGAAAAATCTCTACAGATTTTCTTTTTTTCTTTTCTTTTTTTTTTTTGAGTTGGAGTCTCACTCTGTTGCCCACAGGCTGGAGTGCAGTGGCATGCTCCCTGCCACCACAGCCTCAACCTGCTGGGCTCCGGCGATCCTTCCGCCTCAGCCTTCCAAGTAGCTGGAACTACAGGCGCGCACTACCACACCCGGCTAATTTTGCGATTTATTGTAGAGATGAGGTCTCGCCAAGTTGCTCGGGTGGGTCTCGAACCCACGGGCTCTGGCAATCAACTCACCTCAGCCTCCCAAAGTGCTGGGATTACAGGCTAAGTCACCAAGCCCAGCTCCTACAGATTTTCAAAGCAGAGGCTATAACCAAAAATTTCTTTAGTAATATCTTCAATATGCATTTAATTTTTTAAATTATTCTGACAAGAGAAAAGGCCCTTAATTATTATTGTCTAAAATCTATAGGTCACTGCTTGAAGTAAGTAGTAAGAGGGAATATTTTTAAATGTGATAAAATAGCAAAAGTAGCTGGTGATAAAACTTGAAATTGTGGTTAACCTCCTTGGCTGTGATCTTATGTATATAAGATAGAATTTAAATATATACTTATATACTGATTACAAAATCCATAATAAATGTCATTTTATTTAAAAAAAAAAAAAAAAGAATTTGAGTTTCAGCCGCATTTATCGATCGTGTCACTTTTTGGTCCTGTCTTCCTGGTGTCAGAGGTGTCTCATAGCTTTTATCAGAAGGACCCAGCAGAAGCATTCATCAAGCTTGCCATAGAGTAAAGGGAGTTTACAAGGCCTAAGACATCATGCATCACGCAAAAGTTATACAAATCACAAAACTTATGATTACATTGATACAAAAGTTATACAAATCACAAGGCTTATGATTATATTGATACTACATTATTCAAACTTATAACCACTCAGAAAAAAAGGAGTAAATGGGGATTTGTATCTTTCCGTTGATTAGGTGTATAGTCTATAGAGAAGTCAAGGATCCCCTGAAGTTACTTACTGAGAATGATTAGGAGATAAGGGGATGTGCTCAGGAATGTGCGGTAGCACTTGAATCCTTGCTATGCCCTTCTCTAGGGGCTGTGACAATATGGATGGACATTAGCTGATCTCTGTACCGCTTCCTCTGACTCTAGAGAAAAAGAGTTAAACAGATTGTGTGTCTACTCCCAAAGATGTCATGGTCTACAGGAAAGACAGGCAAGAAATCAGTGACCACAACTAACATGTGACGTATTAGAACCAAGGAATTCAATGATTTGGGGGAACATGTGGAGGGACTTTTAACTCAGCCTGAGGAAGCATTCAGGAAGCTCCTGGATCTGGTCTCTCTTGGAATCTCATGTCCCTTAAGGTTTGTCAGATGCTCTTGGGTCCTTCCACTAAATTCCCTTTTGACCTCAACCTCTTTTTTTTCTTTCTTTCTTTTTTTTTTTTTCTTTTTTTGAGACTGAGTCTCCCATTTTGGCCAAGCTAGAGTGGCACACTCACTGTCACTGCAGCCTCGACCTGCTGGACTCAGGCAATCCTTCCACCTCAGCCTTCCAAGTAGCTGGAACCACTGGCTAACTTTTTTTTATTTATTGTAGAGATAAGATCTTGCCAAGTTGCCCAGACTGGTCTTGAGTCCCAGCAATCCTCAATTGCTCAGGCAATCCTCTTGCCTCCACCTCCCAAAGTGTTGGGATTACATTCCCAGCTTGGCTTCAGTCTCTTTAAAGAAGGTTTTGGTCACTTACAACTCTTGTGTTAACTCTTGAGGGGTGAATGGAATTTAGCCAGACAAAAGACACAAGGAAGGGCATCCAGTGACAGAGAACAGCATACACAAATTTCAGCATGGAGAGTTCAGAGACTTCTCTGGGGCTAACATCCCAGCCTCCTTTCTCCAACCTGTGTTTGTTCTACCTAATCCTGCCTACCCAGCCATATCTGAGCTTCCTTGGAAATGGAAGACTGGGATGCTACCTGGACTTTTCAATTGATCTGGAGTGATGTAAACTCAGGGAGTGTCTATGGGCAGAAAAAAGCAGGGAAAGCTGGTTTACCTAGAAAGAAGAGTAAAACAGACCTGCCAGTGGAGATGAAGAATCGGTGGCCCCAAAGAGAGCAAGCCTGAGAAAGGAGCTATCTTTCTGTCCTGGTTCTGGTCCCTTTTGGAATCTCATGACCCTTGGGGTCCATCTGATATGCCTGGATCCTTTCACCAAATTCCTTTCTGGCTTCAACCTCTCTAAAGGAGGTTTCTGTCACTTACAATTAAAGAAACCTAGACTAAGGTAGACAGCACGATGTATTAGGGGAAGATAAGGAATCCAGAATGGCCAAGCAAAGACCATACCAGATGCAAGATATGATAGGCAGGACATGGGCCTGGGCCAGTAGGCAAGGCCAAACCCCAAAGGAAGCTTTAAATCCTGTGCTAAAATACTTGACCTTTATCTTACAGTCAGTCAGAGCCTGGAAGAGCTCTAAGCAGATGAACAGTATAATTCGATTGCTCCTCTGAGCTGGTGCATGAATGCTCTGAAAAAGGGCAGAGGTTCAGGCAGGAGTCCAGTAAGGAGACTATAGCAGAAATGGTGAGGGTCTGGACAAAGTAATGCATGGGAGTGGAGACAGAAAGTTGAGTTTAAGAGATCTTTCAGGAAAACCAGCAAGACTTGCCTATCAGCCGGATGGGGGATGGGGCAGTGAGAAAAATGGGTACTTCAGTCCACAGCTTGGACAAATGGTTTGAAGGGGCAGGTTTTGAGGAAAGTTGCTGGCTTCAAATTTGGACTTTTGGTGAGGGTACGAGTAGACGTGTCAAAGTGCACTGGCTAGCTCTGAAAGCCCAGGAAACATTGGCTAGCCTAGACACACATTTTTGGAGACCAGTCTCACAGAGATGGCAAATTATTAAAGCCACAGGAAATGGTGACGTTACCCAGGGAAATTGGAGAACAGAGAAAGGACAGAAAAGGGGAGAGAACAGAATTCCGTAGAATGCCAGCACTCAAGGACTAAATGAGGAAGAGGGGCCTTTAAAAGAGACTGAAGCCAGGCTCGGTGGCTCAGCCTGTAATCCCACGCTTTGGGAGGCCGAGGTGAGTGGATTGCCTGAGCCCGCAGGTTCGAGACCTGCCTGGGCAACTTGACGAGACCTCGTCTCTACAATAAATCAAAAATCAGCCGGGCGTGGTAGCATACGCCTGTAATTCCGGCTACTCGGTAGGCTGAGGCAGAAGGATAGCCAGAGCCCAGCGGGTCGAGGCTGCGGTGGCTGGGAGCAGCCACTTCACTCCAGTCTGGGCGACGGAGTAAGACTCCAACTCAAAAAAACAAAACAAAAAAGAGACTGAAAAGAAGCCAAAGACACCGGGGGGAAAACAGGAGCCCAGGAAAACAGAACTTTGAGAAAGAGGAAGTGTGTCATGTGAGAAAGTGATGCTCTCATACATTACCGGTGGGAGTGGAAATCTGACCACTTTTTACCATCTCTTCCACTATCACCCTCCTTCAGGACACCAATATCTCACTTCCAAAATGACTGAAATAACCTCCCAGCCGGTCTCCCTGCCTCCCCCTTTCCTACATTCTCCACCTGGCAGCCAGGTTGATGAAGAGCCTACTCACAGTCCTCTACTCTTGTCCTTCAAGACCTGGCCTGATGTGGCTCATGGCTTCCTTTCTAGCGTCATCTCCCTAAAAAAAAAAAAAAACCATCACTGCCCTCCAGTCACATCAGTCCCCTTCTCATTCTGAGACATGCCAAGAACAATCCTGCCTCGGGACCTTTGCACTTGCTGTTCCCACTGCCTGGACTGAGCTTCCCCTAGATATTTCACTTCCTTTGGGTCTCTGCACAAATGCTGCCTTGCCAAGGAAGCTTTCCCTCACCACCACCCCCAGACTAGCCCCACTCACAGCCCCCCACTTTGCCCTGCTTTATTCAAAACCCTATCACCACTTGACATCATATTTATGCTTATTTGTTTGCTGTTATGTGCCCAGCAGAATGTAAGCTCCGGAAGGACAGGGCCCAGGTCTACTTGAACCATTGCAATATCCCCAGCACCTATATCAGAGCCAGGAAAATAATGGTTGTCAAATACTTGTTGAATGAACACACTTGATAATATATATCCAAAGTCCTGCCACCCGGATTCCACTTCTAAGTATTTGTCCTCATGAAGCAATGATGGTTATCCACAAAGATCTAGGTACAGGTATGTTCGCTGCAGCATTGTTTACATTGGTTAGACAATCAATGGTCCATCCAGACAGAAAATCCTGTGCTGCCAGAAATGAGGCTGCAAATGAATATTTACAAACAGGAAAAGAATTTCCCAAAGTAGCAAGCCTTCCTGCTCCAGCACAAGGAGACATAAGAAAAGCACATGCAAAATTGTGAGGCCCCTGTTAACTTTAACAGTCAAAGCAGGGAGCCAGTGTCCTCAAACTCTGTGAGGTGAGAGCACATTCATTCTTCAGCACAATGGATGGTCAAAGTGACAGGAACTAATGTGTACCAGGAATGACAAGAGAAGGTCATTCTTTTGAGCAAACAGTGGACTCTGTCAACTCTGGATTAAAAGACCAGGCGTGGTGACTCAAACCTGTAATCCCAGCACTTTGGGAGGCCAAGGTGAGGGGATTGCCTGAGCCCACGGGTTCGAAAACAGCCTGGCAACTTGGCGAGACTTCATCTCTACAATAAATCAAAAAATTAGCCAGGCGTGGTAGCGCACACCTGTAGTTCCAGCTACTTGGAAGGCTGAGGTGGAAGGATCGCCTGAGTCCAGTA